AGACAGCAGTCAACAAGCCAGCAAAAGAACTCTCACTAGCAGGCTGGAAACTTGATCTTAGATTCCCAGCATCCAGAACTGTGAGAAAACGTTTCTCTTGTTTACACCACCCAAACAATAGTATTTTGTTATCGCAGCCCATATGGCTGTTATGGCAGACCCTTCTGCCATAGAATACGGCAGCCATGCAATTTCTTCTATAACTTTGTTGGCATTGTCTTCTCTAGATTGATCTATCACCCTTCTACTCTGATGTTGTCTGTCTTAACACATCCAACCCCCTCCATTTCCCAGAACCACCATGCTGCCTCTGGGCCATGCACATGATAGTTTGGTGTGTCTGCGATGCCTGTCTCTTCCTTATGAGTCTGGCTAATGACTACTGTTTCTTCCAAATTGAACCAAATGGGCTAGGCAACCTTCTTATGTACTTGCGTGATATCTAATGACCACGTCTTCTATAAAAGTCATCGTGCTGTACAACAACGACCCATTTCCTAGTCTGTTTCCTTGAATGGATTCTTAGGAAAGGGGCCACTTTCTAAACCTCTGAATCCCTCTTTGCCTCTTAGGAATATCTGAATAAATTAATTATAATATTTTTAGTTTAGAGAGCACTAGACATAGACCAGACTACCTTCTCTCTCTGTCATTCATCAGCTGTAACTCTGAAAAGATTACCTCTATTTCTTTTTTTATGAACGTACTTACCTGTCAAATGACAGCAATACTAAGGTTGCAGGTTGTTGAAAAGGTTAATTGTAAAATTGTTTATAGTTATGGATAATATATTTAAAAAACTCATTAAAAGCTGTCTGACTCCAAATAAAATCTAACCATCCTTCTAGGGTCAATTCAATTCTACATTTGCAATGAAGCCTGTACAAAGATCAACAGGCAGAGCTGATTGTTCCCTCCCCTCTCCTTTTGCAGACGTTGGTTGTAGCTTAGCTGTAGCATTTATCAGTTTTCCTAACATTAGAGTGTCTTATACGTGTATCTGCTCCTTCTCTCCTGGGATAGGAGCTGGTGGGAGGGACCAGCATTTTCCATCTTGCCACCTTCAGATGCCTAAATGAGAGCCTCACTGACAGAAAGCATTATTGGCATGTACCGCATGAGACAGGTAATAATGAAATAAGTTCTGTGTACTGTGCTATATTGTCTCTAACAGATTTTAGATTTTTCAGAATATTCTTGACAATTTATTTTTTAATTGTTATATAAGTGACTTATAACATTATATTAGTTTCAAGTGTACAACGTAATGGCTAGATATGTGTACATAGCATGAAATGATTGGACACAGTCAGTCTAGTTAACATCCATCACCATGCATAGTTACAATTTTTTTCTTGTGGTGAGAACTTTCAAGATCTACTCTCTTAGCAACTTTCAATTCATCAGTCATTTTCCAAATGGCAACCAGAACTGCTTAATTTGCCCCAGTCTTCCCATTTCTTAGTTATTTTGCCTTTTATTGATTGGGGTTGACCTATAGGTTATAAATCCTTGGTAAGGGCTCACTTTTGGCTTTAAATGGGATTTGAACTCAAATATGAGATTGATTTTGTCAACCCAGTCAGCTAGCAAATAAGAAAAAGCACACCCTTCTGCTTTCTCCAAGCTTCTAGTCTCCCTCTAGGGCCCCCTATTGTCTGCACCTAACAGGAACCCAGATGGTAAAGGAGAAATGCTCTCTGTGGAGTCCCTACCACAGCATTACAAGGAAGAACATAAAGAGACGCGTTAGCTGACAGACAACTGCCCATTAACTGGCACACTGATAATTAATGCAAGTGAATGAACCTTTTATATTGCAGTCTCGTAGCTGGTTCAGTTTCAATCCAATGCTTTCCATCCATGAACGAGTGAAGCTTTCATTGGTGGTGTACCAGTTAGGGGATGTCAATCATTGCCAAATTTGTTACCAAGGCTTTCGCTTCTAAAGTAGAGTGCATGGTCTCCAAAATGGGTTTAAAGGTCTGTCTTTCAGGAAACTACATTAAAATAAAAGAAGAAGCTAGGAGCAAGAAAAGGATTCTGGAAAGCACAATTAAATCCTGGGGAGACTCGGTTTCTGCTGTCTGATGGCAAAAGTGGTGTGAATTCCAGCATAAGTGCCATTCCAGAATGAAAAATGGTCCTTCTGCCAGAAGACCGACTGGTGCTAAAGCTTCTGTAATTAGAACAGTACTGAGTGCCGGGGGACAGCACTCAGTGCCTGACAATGAAGCGTGTTACTTTGATAAATGAATTACTAGCACTATTCTGCTGACTCCCAAACACGACACTCAAGGTGGCCTCAGCTAGTAAACAGGGGTGGAAAACATATCCTCACACATTTGCTTCGTGCCTGAAAAACAAGTAATTTAGGAGAAGACATCTGGACACACAATTTGAACGGAGCTCAGAGCCCATCAAAACATGGATTTCATGGCTTGGCGTCTGGCTGCTAAGCAACGGATTTCTGACATCAAAACAGAGTTGTAAAAGTAGGATCCTGGTGCCAACTCCGGGTATTTCTCATTGAAAAAATAAGAGCCATGAACATTTTTCTCTAGGTCTTTAGGTATCCGATTTCCATGGGTTAGGAGAGCTAAGATCATTTCTCCTCTAGTCTAGAGTGTGTTTTCCACATTCTGAAGTATTAGGTGGAGACTAGCTTTACAGTTTTGAAGTACTCTCCAATGAATAAGGGTCTTATAGTACTTTTTTCAGCCCCCTAATTAATGGCACCCTTTTAACACACATGCTTTTCAAATATTTGGTTCTCATCAAGTTCAATGTATATACCAGAAGGCCAGCCACAAACTAAATGACAACTGTTTTACTAAAAGTGTGCTTCTGCTTGGTGACGAGGCCAGGGAGGGCTCATGTAAAATACTTTCCATGTGTAGACTAGTTTGTGAGATAAATGTTATTATAATACCTATTAAAATTAAGATAGACTGTCAATTTTTTTCTTCCTTTGCTTTTATCTATTTAAAATATACCAGTGGGTTTCAGAGCTTGTAAAAATAGGAAATGGTAGCTACTCAAACTAAAAACAAATCCAGAAAAAACAACAGACAGGTCATTTAGCATCACTGCCTAGGTTCCCTTTCTCAGGGACGCAATTAGGAAAGTTGTGGGGCAGGTGGTAAGAAGTAATGAGGTTGTCTATTAATTTTTACTTAAAAAACTACAGAATGTGCACTGGTATTAAAAAATGAAAGTGAAGCATTAAAATGACCTACTCTTTGGAGCAGCTTGCCTACAAAAGTATTTTTTTCCTCTGTCTTTAGAGAACTTCCTTCCATAAACTCTCTGAAGCCTCCTTCTTGGCAGCCTCTTGTGATGTAGCAAAGCAAGAAATCCAGACATGGAAAGTTGCATGCGCGCGCACGCGCGCACGCACACGCACGCGCGCACACACACACACACACACACACACACACACACAGAAGAACTTGGAAACTAAACAAGAAAGAAATAGTGTTACAGGAGAACTTCATACTGAAGGTTACAAAGCAGAATGTTCTTCCGTTTCAAAGATTAATGTTGTGCAGAGAAATTAAAGGATGGCTTCCAGGAGATCATTTCAATGAGGAGAAAGAGTTTCCATTGTGCATAGCGCAGTGTCCTGCCTGGTTCTCCCCCGACCACTGCCCTCTGCTGTCCCTGTTTACATGTGGTTTACATTTATGTCTACCCCATAAACCGCAAGTGTTTCTCTTCTCCAAATTTATCAACACTTTTCCTTCATACCAAGGGTGCCTTCTTACAAAAAAACAAAACAAAACAAGAATTTGGTGGTAGAGTTCGGTGATTCTAAAACCTCCTGCAAGCCATCATTGAATTTCCTGTCCAAGCTCTGGTTGCTCCATTTCATCCCATGATTTTGCATAATATTTCAAACTTTCCAATCCTTCCTCTATCCTGCACCTCAAACACTTAAAGAATGAGCCTTAAAAGGCGATTCTTACCAGTCATCTGAGAGGCATAACTGCCAATCAGAGCAGAGTTGTGAAAACTGAGACTCAGAGCTCTGAGCAAGCCAGGCTCAAAACCCGCCCAGACTTTGTGTCTGAATGTCACGCTTACATGGTGGTCTAATGGCTGTGCAAATAGAGATTGTGTTCTTCCCAGAACCTCTGGGCCTATAAAGATCAATTTCTTTTCCTCCCTGTAACCATCTTCCTTAAAAGAGGAAATCCTGGGAAAACATTCTTCCCCGGGTCTTGACTTTTCGCCCAGATCTTTACACACTGGGGCTTCGGAAACATCATCCAAAACCCCAAAATGTAAGCTGGATGTGACCCTTCACAGGAGCAGGCAGAGCCTGCAAAGGAGTTACTGAGGAGCCTTGCAAGATTGGGCTTCTATATCCTCCTCACCCTCCTGCATTTTTTCCTTCCCAGAAATGTAATTCCACCAGGGTGGACATGTAAGAACTTCATTAGGAAACCAGATTGAAAAGAGAGTCCTTCAGTCATGAGCTCTTCCCTCAACTTAATGTGGAAGAGGTTTAAATAAGAATGTGTGGACATTACAAAGGAGGATCATGGATAAAAGTGACTGCAGCGGATGAACCATCAAGCCTGTTTTATGATGTTGGACAAAGTTCTAATTTGGGGTCCACTGGAACAGGAGAAGATCGCTGATTTCAAAGACAAACTTGTTTTCCCCTTTTCCCACTAAGTTATCTACATTTTCCCAAACATTTTGGTCCCCTCTTATCATATGCATCTATGACATCCTATCTCAGACTAGAGACATCCTGCCTGGTTGACTGATTGACTGATTGTCAAGCAGGTCTGGTTCTTTAATGGGGGAGTTTGCTTCTGGGGTTACCCTGAATACAGGAAAGAGCTGGAGGCCGGCTAGGTTTCATGCCAGAAGCAATTAAGCACACCCAAAGTGGCAGGTGGTTTGTGGGAGAAACAAGGCCGTCAGGAAGGCTGTCCCATTGACCTACCTCGGTCAGTGTTTGAGCCACCCGTCCAGGCGGGACCTACCTCGCGAGTGAATAGGATGGCCGCATCATAGTGCTCCTCGTGGTCATCCCCCAGCTGGTTGTGCTGGTGCTGCCACTTGCAAAAGTTCTTCAGCGTGGTGGCCGCGTTCTTGCTCACCTCCAGGCTCTTGTCCTTGTCGCCCAGCACCACCACCTTCACCACGACCAGGCGGATATGGTTCTCGATGCTGGCGTGGCTGTACAGCCTGTTGGCGATGGAGGCCAGGGTCAACAAATAATGCTGCAGGCTCCGGCCATACATCTGCACCATGGACGTGTCAGCCACCAGGAGCAGCTCCACCTGGCGGGCCCGGGAGATGGAGCGGCGCCGCCGCCGCCACCAGGTCTGTGGTCCCCGGTCCCCATCCGACGAGGGAGTCGACTGGTCCAGGAACTGCGGGGCCATCGTCCAGCGTCGGTCAGGGCTGCTGTGCTGCGGTTGGCGCTCGCGGGGCCTTGGCGGGGACGCGGGGGTCTCGCAGCTGGTGCGCGGTGGCAGGGCCTCAAAGCTGAATCCCTCGCGGGTGTAGGCGTGCAGGATCCTCGCGGACCCATCTCCATACACGCGCCCGGCCTCAGCCTCAGCCCAGGGCCCGCGCAGCAGTGGCTTCAGGGTGTAGCGCGCGTGCTTCACGGCGAAGAAGCCGTCCAGACCACCGCAGAGGTCAAAGACAGCCAGGGATCTGGGGCTGCCGTCCACCGTACCCCGATAGAAACAGTGGCCCCGGTGGCGCCGGGTCGCGTTCGGCCCGCCTCCTGCGGGCACAAAGCCAGCGGCGCCCACCGAACCATCCCGCTCCAGGTCCAGGAGGAACCTCCGGCCGCCCGCGTAGATGAGGTAGCCCACCTTGCCGCCGCCGGAGTAGATCTGGTCGATGTTCTGCACGAGCCCGCCGCTCCGGCGCTGCGGCGCCAGGGGGTGCGGGTGGCCGGGAGGCTCGGCCCGCTCCTGCGCCTCCTCCCCCTGCCGCCGGCGGGGCTGGGCGGCCGCTGCAGCAGCCGGGGGCTGCCCGGCTTTATCCTGGGCAGGTGCCGCGGCGGGGCCGGCCGCGAGCAGGGGCAGGCGGAGCGCGCCCAGCAGCAGGGACGCCCACCCGAGCAGCATAGTGCGCTGCCCGCGGGGAGGGGCTGCGCGGAGGGGACTTTATGGGTATTTGTTATTCGCTGTGGAAGTTACCGGGCCGGGAGGTGGGGGCACACACACACTTGCTTGCAAGTTGAGTCAAGAGTCGGAGGGAGGGGGACCCAGCAGCAACGCCAGCCCGTCCGGGCCGCGGTGCCAGCGTGCGAACTTTTCTTTGTTGGTTTGGAAAATGTTTGGATTCGTGCTCCGGAAAGAGGGGAAAAAAATTAAAAAGAGAAAAGCCAGACTAGGGAGATTCAGCAAGTACGAGAAAAGCAGGAAAAACCCCTAAATCCTTCCCAAATGCAGCCACTATCGCTGCACCAAGAAGAGTAAGGAAGGTGCCGCGCACCAGGCGGGCAACTAGTGCGCGCTGTCTCCCGCCCCCTTGCTGCCCGGGACCCTTTGGCAGCGGGGATTCCAAGCTCCGGAGCCCACTTTCTTTTTATTTTGTGGGTTTCCTTGACTCTAATGAAACCAGGAGGAAGAGAAGAAAGAGAGAGAGAAGGAAAGAAAGCCTTAAAAATTAAAACAAAAATGCAAGGGGCGGCTTGCAGCGAGCCAGTGAAGCGGCGCGTCCGTGTCCCTTCGGATGCAGTGTCGTCCTGCCCGCCGTCATCCCCAGTCCGCCGCTGCGAGCGCAGAGAGCAGCGCGAGCGCTGTGAAGATGCGAGGAGGTGGAACAATGAATTTATAGCGGCATGCCATCCTGCAATGGCAATTTCAACAATTCGTCACTGCAAGCTGCCTCTTAAAGGGAGAGCTTCCCCCACCACTCCCACCCTTCCCGGTCCGCGCCTAATCAGATGGGGGAGGGCGCGCGCTGGGCGGGGGTTGGGGGGGTGATCGAGGAAAAAGGGACCGGGAAGGAGGAAGGGACCTGGCGGTGTGGAAGGAGGGACGAGGGAGGGAGCAACGACAAGGGGGAAAAAAGTATTTGGGGAAGAAAAACAGATTTCTTTGGCCTCATTTAAAGCCACAGCCGCTCCGGATTTGTTTGATATTTCACAACGAATCGGGGTTGGCTAACCTCGGCTTACCTCATCTTCTGCAGGGATGTTTGGTGTGTTTTTAAAGTTACTGAGACATTTCAAGTCTCTCCCTGCCTCCTTCTCTCCTGCTCCCCCCGCCCCCCCGCCCCTCCTTAGGAAGTTCCTGCCTCAAGTTTTTCCCCTCGGCTCGCCCGTGCGCTCCGGCCTCTTAAACCTTGCAACTCCACGCACCAGCAAAGCAATTTCGGCTTCCTCCGCGCCCCCTTGTCCCGCGCCCCTCTCGCCTCCTCCTTGCCGTCGGGTACCGAGTTTCTTCCCTCCCCATTGCCGGGTCTGCGCGCTCCGACGCTCGCCGGCTTGGGGCTCTGGGTGACTAACTTCTTCCAGCCACCAGCAGAGGGGCCGGGCAGCCGGAGTGCCGCGGACGCTTCCTGGCGCGTCGCTGCGCCCGGAGCGCCGCTGTGCCCCGCGCAGGACCCCCCGCGGCCTGGGAACTCCGGGTCTTTGTGTGCGAGCCACGGGCTCCCCCCTTTTCTCCAGTGCGCTTTGCACAGGCGCCCGCGATCTGTCACTTAATCCCGGACGACTGGAACTTCCTTCGCTTTGCTTTAAGAAGGTTGGGCTTGAAAGAGTTAACTCTTGAAGGGAATTACGCTCATTTTTTTTTATAAAGATTTAAAAAATTTGTACCCACGCTTTTTTCCTTTCGGCTTAAGTGATAACTAAGTGATAGATACTGGTATTTATATTTACCTCTCCTAAAACAACTTATCGCCCTAGGTATCATTCTCAGAAATTCCATTTAGGAGAAAAAGATTTGGGGTGAGGGACAGAATGATGCATGCTAGTGCTTATTTGAGTGGCATTGTCACTGTGCCTTGGTTTCTCCTTTTTTGTTGTTCTAACCAACTTTATTGGGAAAGAAAAAAAAATCTGATGCCTATTAAACCATTATCTGGTAATAGAAGGTCTACTGTTGGGGCAGGAACATCCTTCCCTCCTTATTCTCTAGGCAAATTAATACATTTATCAATGAAAAATCTGGTATAATTAGCACATTCCTGTCTTCGAATTTTTGTTTAACTTACAAGGATGTGGAGGCCTCAGTGGACGCCAAACTGCTGGTGCTTTCCCCAGATCTTGCTAAGAGATCGGATTACTTTTTCAAGGAGGTGATCAGGAGGGTCTTGGACTGATGTGAGGCCCTTTGAGTAATAATGAACCCTAGGCCAGAATCCCAGACGCACCCAGTGATGACTCCCTTAGCCGAGGCCTGGTGCCCCCTCTGGAGCCATCTGAGAGGCATGGGAGTGAAATAGGTCCTGAGATTTAGTTCACAGGTATACCTGGAGTGATCACTGGGGTCCTGGTCTACCCAACAGCCTCTGGTGGATTCTGAAATACTTTCGGACTCCGGAAGATGTCGGCTATCCCTAAAGGCCATTGACTTTTAGTTGCCCCACTCCTCAGCCTCTCAGTGGTCAGTTAGTCCCCTGCTGTCAATGCTACCAGCTGAATATTTTGAGGAACCACAGATGTTCAGGATCAGACTAGAAAGGAGAACCTAGTTTCCAGCAGTCTTCTCTGTTCCTCCAGTGGTCTTCAAGTGTCCTGATTCTTGAGCCTGTAGAACATGTTTATTTTACCCTGACAATTTCAATGAAAAAGAGCCCAATATTTGGCAGTAAACACCATCTCTAGAACAATTTTGATTCAGTAATTTTAACCATTTTATCATTGTAAATCTCAAAGGGTCATTTTCATAGGCATTTTAGATGACAGTAGTTTAAATTTATCGATTACAATTGTTTGCATTCACAGATGGGAGATTTTTTATTTAGCATGGAAAGAAATTTCAACTGAATATTCCTCTTAGTGAAAAATTTTCTCTTCTTTCTCAAATGCTACATTTCTCACATGAATCATGTCTCTGAATTTTATGCTTAAATCTCAGTTTAATTAAATAATGACATTTTTACTTAGATAAATTATTTACATGTGTAGAAATACATTGAAGAAAAAGAGAGAAGCAGATAGAACTCCAAATGTGAATATCAAGTACTAAATATTTATTAGAATCACATATTCACAAGGAAAGGACATGATACTGCTTTTTACATATAATGAGTAAATTTTTACATATTCAGAAAATTTCTACTTGGATATAACTTTTATTTTTGTGAAAGTAATTTAGATACTTTGAGAAGTACATTTGGTGATACTTTTAAAATATTACCCTAGTGGATTAGGATGAACTGCTATGTTCCAAAAATATTCATTCCTGTCAGTCCAAGGAAGAAATTTGAACTGAATGAAAGTAGTTTTCATTTAATTTTTTTACCATAGAAAGATAAAATATATTGGCAATCATGTTTAGATGGACTGACTGCTCCTTTATTATCTCATTATTTTAAATAGCGGTTTTATTTGTGAATATTTAATGAGAAATTCCCACTGCATTTACAAGGTGTATGATCAAATCTGATATAGAATTTTACATTTTACTTTTTCCAAGAGCAAGAGAGTTTTTTTTTTTTTACTGCAGGCCATTATAGTTGGAAGTTATCTTGAAGGTCATTTAAGGCAACTCCCTCTCTGTACTCATGGGAAAGAAACTGAGAATAGAGACCAAAGTGACTTGCCGGTGGTTAAACTGTCCACCAGTGGCCAGCTCTCCCGAAACCTAACTCCTGTACTCCCTTGATTGGTATTCAATCTACAACACTGCTTAAGATCTATGCAGTTTAACAAATATCTGTCAAGGGACCACTACAAAGTGCTCTGTGAGGTTCTCTGAAGGCATATAAAGACGAATAAGTCATGATTCATGTTCAGAGAAGCTCACAGTTCAGAGATGGAGCCAATAGGACCAAGAGATACTTGGCGTACAAGCTGGAAAATGCAAATAGAGAGGGGGAAAAAGCAAGAGAGTAGCTCCTGCAGGTTCTCCAAGATGTGTATTTCCACCAGGCTTCACCCCATAGAATTTGGGCATCTTTGTGAGTTGTAGTTTCTCAAATTTCCATTTGCCAAAGTGTCATTTCCTTCCTTTCCCCTACCTATGATTTTAATGGTAAGAGTGAGGAAGTAACTGACGATGGAATATTTTCCTCTAAACAAACATCTGCTTCTTACCTCCCAGGTGGGAGAATTTCAGTCTTTCAACTCTATAGTAGAGTTTCTTTCTCACATCAAGATCCATACCCTAGTTCTTGCCCTATTTTGAGCTCCCTTAACGTCATCTTCCTCAGTGGCAGGGTGGGGGATGCTGGGAGTCAAACTCTCCCCTAGTCCTTGAGCCACGTATCCTGCCTGAGGCAACTTGGGCCAGCCGTTTCTTCCAGTGTCACTTGGCTTAGCAAATTCTAACTTTCAGAAGACTTTCTTCAAAATGAAAGGTTATTTTAGGTACCTCGCATAAATGCAATCAGGCAGTGTTTGTTCTTCTGCGACTGGCTTATACTTCAGGAAGCATAGCATCTTTCAGGTTACCATGTCAACTCACATAAAGTAGTCAGACTCACAGAAGCAGAGAATAGAATGATGCTTGCTAGGGGCGAGGGGGAGGAAAATGGGGAGCTGTTATTCAAAAAGTAGAAAGTTTCAATTTTGCCAGAAGAATAACTTGTAGAGATCTTCTGTACAACATCATGTCCACAGTTAGCAACACTATATTGTACACTTCGAACATGATTGAGGGTAAATTTTATGTTAAATGTTCTTACTACAAAACTAAACCAAACCTAAGAAAACACTTTGGGAGTAGGAAAATGGATTAACTATGCAAGCTTTGATATGAATCCTAAATTTTTAGAGGAAAAACCTATACCTGAACAGTCCGCCTCTCCTCTTCCAGCCCTTTAACCTCCCTTTCTGTCTCCTCCTATGTTCTGCAGTGGTCTAACATGCATTTTGACACATGGGTGCACATGTGCAACCTCTCACACATTAGACACAGAAAGCATATCGGCATGCATGTGCTTATATACACGCCCTAACTCAGTTACACTGTACTGACTGGTGGATAGAAAGTCCTGATCAAAGCTGGGGGAATAGGAGAAGGAATTCTACCAACCTCTCGTTGCCCCTTGCAAGGAAAATTTTCTTGGGACCTGCAGTGTGGAGATTTTTTCAAGGACATTTCCTGCATTCCTGATAAAACTCAGAACATTTTCCCTGTTATCTGCTGAGGACATATTAAAGAACAGTCTATCTGTGGTGATGGATAACATATGCTTCAGAATCCATTTTACTTAATATTATGAGAAAATAATGTTTTGGAAAAGCTACATTTTCATTTTTCATATACACAGGAATTTTCTACTGTCTAAAAGTCTTCAAATGAGTAATGTACATGTGTATTATTTAAGACATACAGGTGCTATCCGTAAAGTAAAACCAACAAGTCAGTTTTACGCTGACCAGCTGTGAAATGTTGTTTTAGCTTTTCTTACACAATTATGCGCATATTACTTGCTTTTATGAGTGCCCGAGTTCTGCTTTTTCCCCTATTTTCCGGAAATCATCTCAAAATCAAGCCTTACTGGAAACACATGGAAAATCAGGAATTTCCAGCCTAGAGTAATTTGAAACATTTGAGGTTTTTATTTTTTCCTACAGGACGGCAAATTCAAGGGAATATTTCAGATTATGGAATGACTAATAGTTGTAACTGTAGCAGGTAAGAGCTGTTCCACAGCCCTGTAATTAGCTTTTTAACTCTGGCA